AAGATGATCATAAGGGTGTCAACTCTGTTATTTGTTAATACGAGCATAACTGTGTCATCGCAGGCCAGTTCCCCTTAAAGCTGAAAAAGGATATTGTTATTTTTTAATTGCTGAATTATTTACAGAGCTAAAAATTAATCTTAGACGTAGCACCGCTTTAATCGCCGGGCCTGGCCGGGGCACCGCGCTGACAGAGGGCCCACAACAGGTGGGTGGGTGAAGCAACGGCGCAGAAGTGGAAATGGGGGGGGGGCGAGATGTTTTCGTAAATTTCACTTTACGGCGCTCCTATTCGTCCGATTTGTATGATTGTCACGGCGTTGGATTCAGGAAGCATGTCGCTATCGCGCTAAAAGGCCACATTTTTAAATTTGTTCTCAAAAGTTTGAGAACTAATTAACATTCGCGTTTTTGTTAGATTTTTGGAAAAAGATCATCGTAGCGTATATTAGATTTTAAAAAGTCGCCAAATGCCGTTTACAGATCGAAAATCGAACCATTGGTTCAGACGCTATCGGTAAAGTAAATTTTACTTTTTTGGTGCTGTCACGTGGTAGCTACAAATTGTACTAGTGTCGGGACATTTAGCCTTAAGGTAGTATGTTGTACTTGAAGGAAGGCTGGACATTCTTCATTCATAATGCACCAGAGTAGATGTGCTAACGAACGATAACTAAGTTCTAGCTCCACTCGAGATGCGAGGTCTATAAAAGACCTTCATGACGGAAAATAATATAGATAAGAGGAAATTGAAAATATCAGAGTAAGAATTTTTTATTTTGTGGACTATTACTAGTGTCCTCGTATTATGTTCGAAGTTGAAAAAGTAAGATTTCTGAAAGCCTGAGATTCCATAATCATGATAGAATGTGAAAGAGATGATTGATATCATGTTAGAGTAATATTGTGAAGATGAAGTATAAAGGGCATTTGATGTGGGAATTTTATATTCCCTTTCGTGATCTTGTGTGTACGAATTGCGGCAGAGGCCACAGAGAGAGAGCGTGAGAGAGAGAGAGCGCGAGAGAGCGCGAGCGAGCGCGAGAGCGAGCGAGCGAGCGCGAGAGAGAGCGAGCGAGCGCGAGAGAGAGCGAGCGAGCGAGCGCGAGAGAGAGCGAGCGCGAGAGAGAGCGAGCGAGCGCGAGAGAGAGCGAGCGAGCGAGCGCGAGAGCGAGCGCGAGAGCGAGCGAGCGAGCGCGAGAGCGAGAGCGTGGGCGTGTGCGTGTGTGTGTGTGTGGGCGCGCGCGTGCGTGCGCGCGTGTGCGTGTGTTTTTTATTCTATTTATTTGGGTGAAAAAATCCAACAGTTTTGATTTACTAAAAATTGAATTCGTATGACTTTTTTTCCCAATGCAAGCCCAATGGTAGGTTCCTTCCAAGATCCCTACTAATTCAGTTCTTTCCAAAAATACATATTTCTTCAATCTGCAACCCAGCTGCCAGCAGCAAGTAGGTTTATACATACATATACACACATGCAGATTTGCAAGTAAGCATAAAGCAAAATCTGACATAATGTATCAGAATTCAAAAGGATATTTGAAAATCTTCATGCAAGCCATTACTTGAACCAGAGTAAAATTGGTATTTCATCAAAACTGAAGCAAATAATCAAGATAACTTACTCAAGAAAACCTTTAGGACAACTTACAAACTTACATTGCAATGAGGAAGGTAACTCGGCCTTGGGTTTGACAGCTGCTTGCAGGGCTTCAACAGACGATTCTTCCTCCAACTGAAGTGCTGTCAAAGCACATGAAAATTGCAAATATCTTGAATATTAAGGAATATATAAGAAATCACAGTCTTTAAAGATAAAAAATGCACTAATCATGTAATATTGTCAAACACACATTTTTTGTATATATTGGTCAGTGTCACAAATCTCTTTGTTTGAATCGCATCACTTGTACATTTCTAATACTAGTTGCATGATATTATTCACACATACCTAAAACTAAGTTATAAATTATAATAACTCCCACATAAAAAGAGAATTGCTATGAGCTGAGAAAAAAGTTTCATTATGCCTGAGAATATAAGTTAAAATAAAGTGGAATTGCAATGACACTTCCTTAATTTCCTCCATTTAACCTCCTAAGAAAATTCTGTGTTTATATTCAATAACCATCCAAATAAATTTTCAAAGCTACAAGATGTAATTTTTTTTTTTACGTGTCATTCACTACATTTCACTGTGATTTAAAACCTTGTGGAGGTTGAAACAGTTTATTGGTATTCATTTATTTATTTATTTAACATTTAATACATGAGAGTAATTTTTATGAATATCTTGGATACAACGTCGGAGATTATAATAAACTCGAAGTGCTACAGCAGCACTTCCAGCATACTTTCTTGCATTACTGAACACGGCAGACATTTATGCTTGCTGCAGTTTATTCAACCAATTCAAAGAAAGTGTCTGTGGTACATATTTACATTGATTTCGATTGTAAGGAACAGGAGTAATTTCTTATTTCTACAAATGAAACTAACATTAAAAAAATCATCTTTTACAATATGTGTAGCACATTATACGGAAAAAGCAAGGACAATTTCACACAAGTTACATTATACAGAAATGAGGTTTCGATTGTTGAGCATTCATTAAATGGAAATGAACTTTCAATAGTTGAAAACAATAATCAACGATCACTTTTTTTTTTTTATTAAAAGCAGTGTATTTGTTAGTTTTAAGTAAAATCTATCCCCTTCCTTAAATCTTTTTTGCTCTCATAAGAATATTATCTATACATCACATTTCCATGTTCCAATTCCTTATACGAAGGTCACTCCAAACGTTTTGAGAATGAGCAACAATGAGTTACTCAGCCACAATGAAACTATTCCCATTGTTAGGTGAAACTTTTAGTAAGAATCTCGTGCAAGTTTGAACACGCGCAGGTAATTTATTAACTTAAAGGGCTATTTGCATTCTATTAGTTGTTGTTCCTCTGCCAGTAACGATGGACCTAAAGAGAGCATTTCAGAGCTGAGTTTGTATGACTTTAAGGTTGGCTTAGATAAGAAATCATGCCTCGAGAGATTACAGCATGCATTTGGCAATGGTTGGTTGCCCTTCACAAGTCTATCTATGGTTTGGCGAATTCAAGAGGGGAAGGGACTTTCTGGAAGTTGAAGCCGGTTCTGGCAGGCCCAACGAAGCAACAACGGATGAAAATGTGCTGAATGTGGAACATTTGCTCAGGGAATACCCTCGTACATATGCTCAGATTCAGGAAGCTTTAAATATTGGATCAGTAGCAGTGAAACAAATCCTGAAAGAAAAGCTTCACGTTAGGAAGCTGTGCTGCCGCTGGATCCCTCACAATATGTCAAATGAACAAAAAAGGGCGTGAGTTGATTGGTGTCGTGAGACCCAGGATAAGTTCAATGGAGGAAGATCAAAAAACATTTCTAACATCGTGACGGGTGATGAAAGCTGGATTTATCAATTTGATGCAATATAAAGTAGGAAATAATTTAACATCCATGCAACTTTGGTGGTAGACATAGACAGAAAAGTAATAATCATAATAATTTATAAAAACATCGATGTTTTAAAGCCAATGTTTTTACCATCGATGTTTAGAGCTCAATGTTTTTACATTTTCGATTTTATTGTAAATAAAACAGTACAAATCACAAGTTTGTAAGAGATAAAGTTTTGGCATGTAACTGGTGATTCACGTGTTCGAACGAAACGAACATTTCCTTCATAGAGCAAAGCAGAGCATCTCTTAGTTGAGCGAGGACTCAGATCACCTGATATTTCCTACGCCTGTCTTCGTACCGAGCAGAGAGGTGTCAACGTACGCGGTGCCGTGGGCGCTTCTCCCCGTTTCTGTTTCGGAGGAACGGGGTTCTTCCCGTTCTCTTTTATGCAAACTGAGGAAGCTCTGAGCGCTCAGGCTTTGAGACTCAGTTTCTCGCGAGGACGCAACATATAAACATATCAAAAACATACAAAAAGACAACAATAGAAGGCATCATAGTAGACAGGTATGACGTCACGAGCATTTTGGGACTGGATTCCTTTAACAAATTAGTCTTTGGAGACGTGAACCACATTTCCGAAGAGGAAGAAGTGCAGATCATCAGCGAGTTGGAACAGGAATTTGCAGGGGTGTTCTCTCCTGGATTAGGAGAATGCAATACTTTCCAGGCCAGTATCCAACTTAAGGAGGGGTACAAATCCCGTTTCTAAAAAGCAAGACTAGTCCCAAGGGCTCTCAGAGAAAATGTTAAGTACGAATTCAAAAGACTCCAGGCGGATGATGTCATAGCACCAGTGTCAAGCCAGTGGACCACACCCCTTGTACTGTTAAAAAAAGCAAATGGGGCGATCAGATAGTGGGGTGATTTCAGGAGCAAGGTGGATCAACAAGTTGAAGTAGAACAATACCCCATTCCCAAACAGAAGGACCTTTTTTACAAGGTGTCGGGGGAGGGCAGCCAATTTCGAAGATCAATTTGCGAGACATTTATTTGCAGTTACCATTAGACACGAAACAAGAGAAATGTTGGTGATTAATACTCCACTGGGTCTTTTCAGATATAATAGATTGCTGTTTGGCATAAATTCACCAGCAGCCTTTTTCAACGCTGTTTAGAACAGCTCAGAGCTAATTTAAAAGGCTGTTGCAACTATTTAAATGCTATCATAGTGACCGGCTGCAGTTTAGAACATAAATAAAATTTGAAGTTGTTCAGTGTATTGCAAAAGAGTGGAACATGTTAGATCATACCGGGATAGCATCTATCCGCCAGCACACACAAGTAATTCTAGTTGCCGCCCCAAACCGACTTAAAACTCCAGGCCTTGTTGGGAAAGATAAACTACTACAATAAGTTGATCGAAGGTTTTCCCTCAATCGCAACTCTATTAAACAAGATATGGAAGAAATGAGTCAAACTCAATTGGACAGAACAGTGCAAAGAAGCCCTGGACAGACTAAAATATTTTCAGGTAGAGACAGTCAAATTGAACCACTTTGTGTCAGGGAGAATCATAACGGTAGCGGCAGATGCATCGAACTACGGTTTGTGAGCGGTCTTATCACAAAAAGATGAACAAAAGGTAAAAAGACCTATTGCGTTCGCTTCCAAATCTCTAAACAAGTATCAAAGGAACTATTCTCAAATAGAGAAAGAAGCATTGGGGATAATTTTCGCAGTTAAGAAATTTAATGATTTCCTTTACGGCAGCAAGTTTCATATTATAACTGACCACAAGCCGCTGGTGCAGTTATTTCACTCTAGGAAGAAAATTCCAGAATGCACAGCAAAGAAACTCCAGAGGGCATCGTTTCTCGCAGACTACAACTACCAAATCCACTTCACAAGACCAACTAAGCACGCAGACGCCGACGCATAGCTGAGACTGCACTGCGGTCCCAATCTAGTATTCGATAAGTCAGAAGAAGAAGAATAAGAAGAAGAATGTCTGCAAATAGACAGGGAAGAACTCGAGGGTTTGTTGTAATTTCCTCTCAAGGCACGCAGAATCGCAAGGGAAACGGATAAAGATCTGGAAGTGAGGACAATCCGCCGTTTTGTCAGAGTGTGAAGGCTGCTGCGACTACTTAGCAGCAACGCGAAATGATAGCAAGAGATAGACTTACGTGCAAAATGGGAATGTTGTTGGTGTCGGTGGACAAGTTTATCAGGGTAGTGATACCTAGAAGTTTAAGACATGTGTTGCTCAAACTCTTGCATGAGGGACATTGGGGGACAGTTAGGACAAAACAACCAGCACGCCGTTATTGTTTCTAAAGAGGCATGAGTCAAAATATTGTGCAAATGCTTAGAAGGTGCGACGCACGTCAAATGAATCAAGTTCTGTAGTGAGCATAAAAAGGAAAATAATATTGATTTTAGCAATGATATTTTAAGTATTAGTTACAATTTGGGCTGTATATTTCTAAAAGGCTAAACAGTCATGTAACAAGTATTATACATCAGCTTCTGGGTCAATGACCCCCCAGGTTTTTCATCCAGGTTCCCTAATCCTTTGAGCATTTGGCCCTTGTTTTGCTTCTGGACATAAATGTAGCTTCACTATCTGAACTGGATTTCTAGAGTTAAGTGGGGGAATATATTCCTTCAAATTATCGTTCTACATGTTCTTGCTGGAGAAAGTTGATTGCTTCACAAAGGGCCTGATGATAGCCAGTAGTTGAATTGCCTTGGCAAATAGTTTTTATTACAGATGAGTGAATATCTTCTCAATTCTTGCCAATTGTTTCCACCTATATTCGTAATTCACCTTGATTATGGGTTAGGGAAGAGATCCCATAATTGAAAAAAACATGCACAGAATAAAGTTCTCCCCATGCGAGGTCACATTGTTTTTAACGATAGATAAAGAAATACACAGATGGATGGGGAGAGGTTTTGTTGTAATCCAACTTTTCAACATTAAGAACCTAACATAAATTCTGACTACACTGTGTGTTATAGGTAGTAATTTACTACACATAGCAACAAGAAGAATCTACTTTTTTGCTACCAGGGTCAGGTAATAAAGAGTTTTAATGTAATATACCATCATCTTTTTACTTTCTCAGATATATAAAATAGAGAAAGTTATGAAATGCTGATGTTGAATTTTAATGGCAATATACTGCTTGGAGGTCCCTGATAGTACCAAAAAATACTTGATAATACACAATGTCTAACTGTTCAGTCAAACTATACCAGTGCTCAAACAAGGGACTTCCAACCATTTTTGTACCAACCTATTTTAAAAGAATTGTTTGCTTCAAAG